AACTAACTGGGTCCTAGGTCAATATCTCCTGCAAAGGAAAAGGGGTTTTGGTAACCTTTATCCACATTTTACAAAGAGAAAAAGAAATCCAAGAAACAGTGGAACCAACCTAGACAGGAAAGAATAAATTTTAGGATCATAGCTGTAGAGTAGGCCTAGGAAGCAGTCTGTTCAAAAATTAAACAATAAGTAAATGGTATGCTTCAGAAGCTTCTGTAACAGGTAAAAGAGGCAATTAGGAATTGTACTAAAAAAAAAAAAACAAAAAACCTGACTAATATGAGGCTATTTATTATTTGTGTAATAATTCTGAGTACTTGTAAGAAAATCTAATCTACTTGATCTGAATACAGTACAATTCTTCTAAGAGGGGCACAAATTTAGTGACAGAATATTTCCTTCATGGTAGATCCAATGAATTATTAGATCTGTAGTTAACAATGTTTATATAGTTAAAATATCATAATGAATTCTTAGTGGTTTTCTCTTTTCAGGATCAATTTATACTTAACGCATGAAAGATTTAACTATAATACAGAACAGAAGATAAGTATCATAAATCTTTACAGTGTCGATGTGGTAGGACAGCTAACAGAAGATGGGGAGAGACAGAGGGAAATGTAGTGGTGATAATTTCTTTATTAATAAGTAGAAAGTCAAGAAATATTGTCCATAATTGATGGGTCAGAAAATAGAGATTTAAGTATATTGCTTAATTTTAAAAAGTAAGTAAGAGCAGAACTAAAAAGAAAAACATAACTAACGAAAAATGAAGAGTGGTTAAGTGAGACAAATTCCTCATTTTTTTATTGCAAGGAGTTAGTAAAGCTGATAAGTTAATGAACTGATATAAAATATTATTTATAGTCGAGAAGTTAAACTAAAAAAATAGTCAAAAGTAGTTACTTCTGAGGAATGGAACAGAAAATGGGAAGGTAAAATTTTACTTTTCACTTTTTTTCTTATGTTGTTTAATTTTCCATGGGCATGTTTTAAATTTATAATAAAAAGACCGATGTTAGTATCTTACTGTATTGATACAAATTTAGGGTTCAACAATTTAGAAGACAGTAGCAAAAAGGAATCAAAGATTGGAAAGTGAAGTTTTTTGAAATAAAGCTAAAGGGTACAAGATTAGATTAGATGAAAAAAAGAGGAGTAAAAAGTAATTTTATAAAATCAGTCAATACATTTGAGAAAACATGAAAAAACCCTTGAAGGCATTATGCTAAGTGAAATAAGTCAGACAGCAAAAGACATATATGGTATGATCTCACTTATATCTAAATCTAAAACAAAGAACAAACAAACAAAAAAACCCCGAGGCTCAGAGAAACAGAACAAATTGGTAGTTGTCAGAGGCAGAAGGTGGGCGAAATTGATGAAGATGGTCAAAAGGTACAAACTTCCAGTTATAAGATAAATAAGTTTTGGGGATGTAATGTTCATTCATGGTGACTATAGTTAACAACACTGCACTGTAATATCTGAAAATGCAAAGAGATTATATCTTGAAAGTTATCACAAGAAAAAATACTATAATTATATGAGGTAACAGATATTTAACTAAATTTGTTGTGGTAATCATTTTGCAATACACATATATCAAATCATAATGTTGTATTCCTAAAATTTTCTTTATCAACTATATCTCAATAAAGTTGGGAAAAAATCCCCCAAAATCAGTCTATACAAAAACAGGGTTCTCTATGATAGAAAATGAGCCTTTATCCTGAAAGCAACACACACACCGCACACACACACACTCCCCCAGAAGCGGAGGGACTTGCAGGGAGACACTGAAGAATCTCATTCCCTAGGTACTTTTCAGAGGACAGTAAAAACCTTCCCTATGATTTCTTGACTAGGTAGAACGCTATCAAGAGGCAGGGCTGTGATCTTTAAAGATCGTTTAGAATTTCATTTATAAAATGGTTCACATTTTTTATTTCAATAAAAAGCAAGTTATAATTCTTGACGCTAATAGAATCCTCTCTTGAGAATTGCTCTGGAGTATACTTGTTAAAAAGGAAAGGTATACTTCTTTTATCATCTGCATATCTTTTGTTATATTTCTTAAGACCTAATACAAAAATAGAAGACACAATTCAGGTTATGACTATAAACATTAAATCATAACCTTTGGATCCAATGATTCTTAGAGAGTTAACAGGCACTTGCCTTCTTGCTACTAGTCTTGTTCTTCTAATATATTATTTATTTATTAATTTGTAAAACATTGCTGTAGCATCTAAGTGGGAACATACAAAGTTACAAACATAAATTATTTAAACCCACCAACTAATAGAAACAAAAAATGAAAAAGGGGAAAACTATATGTTGACTTAATGTAAAGCTACTGGTCATTTAGTTTTTGTTAAAAACCCACATTGGATAACGTCTTCAATAGGGGGACATAAAAGAAAGAGACGAGGAATCCAATTTGTAACACATAAAATGACATTAGAGGCAGGAGATGGTAAGCAGTGAGATGTGTAAAGATGACGAGCTCTGAGGCAGCAGAGGGTCTGGCCTATGAGCTGCACACCTAATAAGCAGTGGCTCTGGGAAGACAAATGGGCAGCTGTCCATGGGCCTTGAAGGCTTTCCTTCTATATAAAAAGGGTTCTAGAACAAGTTAACCACTTAGTTTCCCAGTTTCCACTTTCTAGCTTGGTTTAGCTCTCTTTGTTAATGCTTTGAGTACTAGGAGGCAATGCAGTACAGTAGAAAGAGCCTTTCATTTTCTCTTTATAAAATTAGGTCAATATCTCACAAGATGTTTTGTATTCAGGACAAAATGAGATAAAATATGTGAAAGTATTGGAATACTAGTTACTAAATAGCTGTTAGTTTTCATGTGTTATGGTAGAGAGAGGGCTACAAGAATTTTGTGTTCCCCTGAGAAGGCGTTGCCCAGCCAGGAACCGACTACGTTTCCCAGCCCTGCTAGGCATGTACTATGACATGCCTATGGCAATTGACTGGTTCTCTCTGATGCAATGCAAATGGTTCACTACACCCAGGCCCAGGCTATTCAGAACCAGGCATAGCATCTCTCTGTTCTTATCTCAACTGTCAGCCAGATGCATAGGATGTGGCTGAGGCCCTCGGTGATGACAATCACCTGTGGGTTCCTCAATCATCTGTGGAGAAGAGCCACTTGACAACCAGGAACAGCCGTACTGACTATTACACGACTGAGAAACAAACCATTGTGTTAAGCCATGGAAATATTGAAGCCACATTTGTTATAGCAGCAAGTGTTACCCTAACTGATATAAACATGCTATATAATAATTACTATAATAATAATGGTAAGAGTGTCAGACATTGCATCAAATAAGCCATCATTGATGCTATTACAAAATCTTGGCCAAGTAAGTACATGAAAAGATGTTCAATGTCATTAGCCATCAGGAAAATGCAAAGCAAAACTGCAATGAGATGCCACTTCACTCCCACTAGAATGGCTATGAACAAAAGGAATAGGCAGTAACAAGTCCTGGCAAGAATGTGGAGAGATTGGAACCCTCACACATTGCTGGTAAGAATGCAAAATGGTGCAGCTGCTGTGGAAAAGTTTGGAAATTCCTCAAAATTTAAACATAGAGTTACCATTAGACCCAGTACTTCTACTCTAATTCTAGGTATATACCGAAGAGAACTGAAAACATATGTTAAAATGAAAACTTGTATAGGAATGTTCATAGCAGCAATAGTCATTATAGCCAAAAGGTAGAAATAATTCAAATGTTCATCAATTGATGAATAGAGAAACAAAATGTGACATATATATCTCCATATGATGAAATGTTTTTTTAGTCATAAAAAGGAATGAAGTACTGATACGTGCAATAACATGAATGAACCTTCGAAACATTATGCTAAGAGAAAGAAGCCAAGAACAAAATATCACATATTAAGCGATTCCATTTATATAAAATGCCTGGAATATACAAATCTATAGGACACAAAGTAGATCGTTAGGTGGTGGGGCTGAGAGAGCTAGAGGGAAATTGCAATGGGTAGAGGGGGACTGGAATGGGTAGGTTTATTTTGGGGGTGATGAAATGTTCTAGAACATGAGATAGTAGTGATGGTTGCACAACTTTGAATATACTGAAAACTACTGAATTGTACAATTTTAAAAGGATGAATTTTATAATATGTGAATCACATCTCAATTAAAAAAAAAAAAAGAAATCTCAGCTATTTGCTTTATCTTGCCTGCCAAAGAATCCGGCACTGTACAAAAAGGCACTGAGGTCTTTTCAGGTAAAGACTGGGAGAGGGCCTGAAGGAACCTTCTAGGATGCTGGACATGTGCTGTTTCGATCTGAGCAGTAGTTACATGAGTAAATACACATGTCAATATTCATTCGAGGCATGATTCTCGGCTGGTCAGAACTAGCAGACTCCTTCCTCCTGGCTTCACCCCACAACCAGGTAAGCTCCAACAGAGCCCCAGTGCCCTATGCATGAAATGCCCCTGTTCGCCTATGAAGAACCTAAGGTACAAACTTTTCTCAGTTTGACTAACAGTGTAGCTAACGTGGAAATAAGGATTTAAAGCTAACCCTGAGAATGATACAGGGGTGGGGTATAGGATAGAGTCCCAGAATAACTACTAAAGTGTGTACTGCATCAGCAAAATTCTCTAAGGAAGAAAAAAGTCCTAAAGGGGTAGTATGGGATGTGGGGGGAGGACCCAAGAGAGGACTACATATGGAAAGTATCTTTCTTTTTCCTGCTTAGGTACATGCCATTTTCAAAATTCAAGTTGAAATCACAAAATAAGGAACGCCTGTTTGGTCATATAAAGGAAATTATTGTTTAAGTACGTGATAGTCAAGACTGAAGTAAAGGATCATCGGAATGTTTTCAACCTTCAAATAAGGTATACTTGGTGATTTCATGAATCATCATTGCAATGTTCTGAATCCACTGGAAAGATTGCCTTTTAAATTGGAATAAATTCCTCAAAGGATGTCACTTACTTGCAGGAGACTTTCGTTCTGTCAGCCACCATGGTCCACTGTTGCTGGTTGGTGGAAACCTCAACATAGTAGCTATAGCTTCGATCGTCGCAGTCCCAAAGTAGTAACCTGAACAGAAGGAAATACGAGGGTGCTGTGAACGTTCTCACTGTCTGTTTCCTTAGGCTGCAGGCACAAGGGAACCCATGTCCACCCCACCCCTCTTACTTGCCTTTGCCCACCACACTTCCAGGACTGGAGAAAGAAAGTGAAACCCCAATGAGTTTGATGAGAGAAGGCAGAGTAAGTCTGCAGCAAGAGGTTTGTCTCTTCAGGAATTTATTTCACAAGTCACCCCATCCCAGGCAGCCTCCAACGCCCAAGAGGCAAGGCTCTTCTGATTGGCTCACTAGGGAGAAGACATCACCCAATCTTCCTTCCTGATTCTTACAACTCCCATCTTCAGTCAGCTGGGCTGTCCAAAGGTAACATCCCGAGACCACTGTTCATGGGGGAATCTGTGCTTTCTAATAGGCAATAACTAATGTGTCCCAATGATCTTAATTATCACATTTTAGGTTCCTTCTCATTCTTACCCAACTTTTTGTTTGTATAGCTTTGGTAAGATTATCTGGTTTGGAGATACTGACAAACATATTCATTAGCAAAACTTTCTGTTATTTAGAAATTGATTACCTTGCATCTGTTCTTCTTATTTCCCGCCCCACCATCCCTTTTTAGCCCAGATAAGAACCTAAGCATTGACTATATTATTCCATTTACATAAAACTCAAAAGAGACAGTTTATTTGACAGGAATCAGAATCGGAATAGTGGTTACCTCTCAGGGAGGCAATGACTGGGAAAGGATATGAGGGAATCTTCTAGGATGGTGGAAATGTGCTAGTTTTGATCTGAGTGGTAGTTACTATACATAAAAGATCTGTACACTGTATGTGTGCTATTCTTCAATTTAAAAAAGCAGAATTAAAAAACTCTAAAAATTGTAATACAGGATCAGACTACAGCATCCTGCTTCTGAAAGTATACAGTATGAGGTCATTGTTTTCTATTATTTCATCCTCATAAGTCCTTCTTATACAAGATCTGTATCTTACTGTTTTACAGTTGCTCATGCACATCTGCTTCCTCCACCAACTAGAAAGATAGTGAGCTCCTAGAAGGCAGTACCTATGTCTTACTGGTTTTCTACACCTAGTACTCAGTATAGTGTCTCACATAGAGCCTACATTCAATGAATGTTTGCTGAGCAAATACGTTATTTGTAACAATAACAATGGTAATGATAACAATGATTATCATAATGATCGACAATCCTTTAATGTTTACTGTGTACCACGCCCTATATTAAGTGCTCTATGTAATTTAGCTGATCAAATCCTTCCAAAAATCTTTTTAGCAAACATTATTCTTCTCATCAAATTACAGATGGTGAAAGTGAGGCTTAAAGCTGTAAAGTAACTTGTCTAAACTCAAACAGCAGTGATGGTCAATACTGAGTTCCAACCTGGTGTCCTGAACAAAGCCTACTTCTGTAATCCCTTTATCAAATGTTTTCTTTTCTTCTACTGTATATGGCTGGGTCATAGTTTACAACTGGTAACCTACCACTCTACAAAAGTAATTCACATTATTTCCCCTTAATCTTACAATTATAATCAATGACAATCCTTTGTATGTGGTTCCGTTTAGTGTTACCTATAAAGCTATTATTGAGGATTAGAAATGGCATCGTGTTCCCCTTTCCCTTTACCCTTTGTTTCTTGTTTTCAATTATAAATTTTTTGCTCTCGATGACTAAATCCACAATACCTAATATTTTGAAATTCATCTTTTAAGTAGAGAAAAATATTAAAAGGTTTTGGAAAGCATAAACAGATTATACCTACTGATTCTCTTTAATTCACCGGAGTATTTAACCTCTCGGAGTACTGAGTGAATCAGACAGGATTCTACCCTATTGTCCAATAATTCTACTCTTAGATTATACCAGTTTGCCTGATAAGAAGCTGAATCATTTCCCTCATTAGTCATTTCCTCAAATATTATTTTAGCCTTTCCGCGCTTTTATGCAGTTAGCCCACACTAATTTATATTTATGTTGAGTAACTTTTAAAAGTGTATTTTTTGTTTCTATGTTTGTATGGTTCTCAAGATAATTGCAAGCCTGTTAAGAAAGTCCATTGATCCTTTTCTTTTAAAAAAAAATTCTACTCCAAACATGTGCTCTGTTCATAGTGTAAGTTTCATACACGTTTTGGGCTGAAATCATTCATAACCCAGCCGAAGTAGATTAAAACCAGAAAAAAATTTCAAATTAATTAATCATTTTCTTTACTTAACAGGTCTGGTAACAGGTTTTTTGGGAGACAATGTTGCAGCTATTTCCCCAATGGATTATTTAATTTATTTATGGAGAGCGAGGTTTATCATAATGCCTCTCCTTCTGGAAAACAATGAGTTAGTGTTCCTACCAGTGTATCCAAATGAAAATAATCAGTCCCTTTTGGGATAGAATCTAACCAGATCTTAAAATATTTAACGGGAAAAGACTGCCTCGAGGATATGAGCTATGGAGAAGATAAAAAGGAAGACCAATTATGAGTATCATAAATGTTCTAGAAGAGATTCTTGGAGCGCCAGCATATTTAAAGAATTTTTAAAGTTATACATATTGTGTCCCATAGCAGCTTATTCTATAAGTTCCTCCAATTTGTTTTGAGGCAAATTATGTTAAAATGATGCATTATCTGTAATTCTAGTAATTTTGTAAATACATACACATGGTGCAAATTATTTGTAACTTGCTTGTTTTGCTGTATGATCTATTATGAGTACTTTTTTGTATCATCAAATATTCTTCCTCTTCATATGTACTGGCTTCATAGAATTTCACTGTATGGATGCCCCATAATTTATTTAATCAGTTTCTTATTATTGGGAACTTAGGCAATTGATAGCATTGCACTGTTATGAAAACTCTGTGCTGAATGTTCTTATAAGCTAAATCTATGATTATTGCCTTTGAAAGTTTCTGTAAGTGAAACTTCTGGAGCAGGGCACGTGAGGCCTTGATATGTATTAGAAAATAGCTGCACATCTTTCCGCTTTCCCCTTTCCCCCAAACAAAAGTCTATATCAATTTATCCTCACACTACCAGCAGTGTAGAACAAATCCCATTTCTATGTGTCACCACCAATATCATGCATTATCTTTAAAACTACTGTCAATTTGAAAGACAAAATATATCTCAATACGTACTTTAATTTGCAGCTTTTTACTTATATTGAACTTGAACATTTTACCCATTTTCTACTTATATTTATCCTTTTGTTAATGACTTACAAGATGCCCTCTATATTTTAAGGATATTAATCTGCTGCCTATCATAGTTCACATGCTGAAGATATTAATTTTTATTAGCCTAGTCTATCGATCTTTACCTCAGTAATTTCTCCTGGCCTAAAGTCTTTTTTCTGAACAGCAGCCAAATGCACATACTGGTTGAGACGTCTCTTCTCTATTCCTCTATTAAGAGCCCCTGGGAGCTGAAAATGTGGGGTCACGGTGACCCCTGAGTGGGAAAGGGACACTGATGGATCTGAGGTTATCAGGCCCAGGGCTAAGACTCACCTACACTTTGGAGTTGTTAAGAGATATTCTAATTCATTTGCCAGGATGCGTATTTAATTGGAATTATGGTTTAGCCAGGAATGAAAAACCCTTTGTTGATTCAACTGAAAAAAAGCAAGCACAGCTTATGGACAGTAAAGGGAAATCTGGCTATATTTATTTTTTTCATGGAGAGGAATTTTGTTCTAATAAGGTACAACCGCAAAGCCCACCAACTCCCTTCACTTCTTTCCCTGCCAGCAAAGTCTGTTCAGATAGTCTTTCCACTTGCAACAACACAGATATTTCCGACTTGTAATCTGTTGAAGAACGTTTCCCAGTGAGCTCACCCCAGGACAGATGCACTCCCGCACTCCTACCGCTTTAACCTAGATGGGCTCCTTAACCATAGGCCCTACATCTACATGCCTCCACCCCTGCATCAAAAGCCATTTTCAAAAGGGGCTGAACAAAGGAAGCCGCTGGACAAGATCTACTGATGCAGATCGGGTCTGTGTTTAGCTGTTGCCACAAACCCCTCTACCTAATGAGCACTGCATGAAATGCCTGGTGATATGCAATGTCTCCTCCATCTTCCCTTATTCTCATTGTGGAGTTTCCCTTAAAAGCAGTAAAATGCTGGGCTTTTTAAAATTGATTAACATGTGATTTTTGCCTACATCTTCCATAAATGCTCTGGCTGGCTGCATACCATTGATTACTGGGGTTCAGTTTACAGCAACTAATTGCTCTCCTTGCTGGTGTTTTGATACAAAATTCAATAGCGAATATGTTTTCAAAACTTGTCTTTGCGGCTTGAGTCATAAGTGACTTGAGGCAAACCCAGTGGACTGAGCTTTCCCTTCTTTAAAATAATTGCTCTCTCATCAGTCTGTGAAGAAAGTTTCCAAATTGTAGCATTCTAATTGGAGGGTCTGCATTATGCATGCGATGACAAACTATGTTGTGCTGAATGGCATTTTTTCCCATCTCTTTCTTAGGGGATTAATTCTGTGCCAAGACTGTGCACAATGGCTAAGGTTTAACAGTTGAGATCAACAGCTTCTCCACTGAATTGGTGTGTCTACTAGATCAGGAGCAAGTGTGTTTTGCCAGTTTCTAATTGTCCTCTGTTTGTGGGAGACACCACTGGAAGGGCCTGGGGCCACAACTGCTGCTATTGTACTTTTCTCATTTGGGTGAAAACAGATAAATAAGAGAAGATTAACTACCAAGATATTAGTAATATAAGAATAGTTGTTCACCAAATCCATTTCTAATCTCTCTTCATTAAAGATCTTCAGAAATTAAATTCTTGGAAATAAACAATTCGACAATTCAAGTATTTACTGAGTACTGACTATATGACATTAGGCTTAACTTATGTGTACTTCAGTTTCATCCCTTGTGAAATTAAAGGACTAGATTTGATGGTTTCTAAGGGCTCTTTGAGTTTTAACATTTTATAATTCTCTGCAACAGCATATGTAGTAAAG